AGTTCCCGTTAGCATCTTTGAAAGCAATGGACTTGATATTAATGTCTTCATGAACAATTATCTCTTTTATCAAACTTCCCACCTTAAAACTAAAACCACCTCCGCCTTGACCTCCCCATGGCCCAAGTGAAATGATTCCACGTGAGTAATACACCTACACCAAAATCAATTAGAAGAATCAAAAGTAGCAGTATATAATTTACTAACAAATTGATACCCTTTGGTTCTAAATATAACACCCATTTGTAGTATAATTTACACTACAGAATGAGTCTTATATTTAATACAGGAGGAGTACAATATTATGTTGTATATTTGAAAATAATGAATTTAATTACTTACTGGCTGCACAAAAACGCCCAATGCATCAAGATAATAACCAGCTCTCCCATGGAAACCAACAACAACACAATCTACTATTGGGATAGAGAAAGGCTCATCATCGTCATCACCAGTTGTTCCAAAAGGTCCATGAGTAGTAAAATTTGTGATAAATGATAGGGACTTGATCACTAATAATCCATTGTAATCTCCATGAGTTCCATTTATAGATATCAAATACTCTGAAGGCCATTGAATTCCAATCTACGAATGATACAATATAATTAGTAATTAATGCAAAATATGATGGTGATAAATTAAGTTTTGATTAATATATAATACTCCATCTGATCCAAAATATAACATCTAATTTGTAGTGCAAATTATACTACAAACTAATACATCTTATATTTAGAACCGGAGATAGTAATATATACATATATATCATCAATTAACCAATTAACTCACTTGTTTCTCTTCACCATTAGCATTGGGGTCTCTGCCTCCGAATGTCCCGGAAATATGACCACTGGCATCTCTGAAAGAAATGGACTGTATATTGACTTGTTCATGGATGATTATCTCAGTTATTCCAAGATTTGCCTGGAAACTTCACAACTGTCACCTCGGCCTCCCCATGGTCCTACCAGAAATCATTCCTTTCAACGATCCCTGATCGCAAACCAATATGAGTAGGAGAGAATGTTACTGGAAAAATCAAAACCTTACAGATATATAGTGTTATTACGTATAGAACGTACCATTAACTTGCTTTGATGAAAATTTATGTTGAATGATGCTGATATTATGAAGCTCTGATGAATCTAGTGAATGTTGGTATGTATCTCCTCTATTGTTGTTGTCTAATATATATGATGTGTTTGCGTGTGGACAGATTAGGAATGAAAAAGTCCAATTTTAGGGTTTCATTGATTCACTGTGATGAGTGTATCGAGAGAAACCGTGTGAACGCACTATATTAATTGGAGTAGGTATTCGTTGAACAAAGACACCTTAAAGCCTGGCAAGTGGTGGCTTAAGCATTAAGTTATTCCTTACACAAGATACGAGAGCCAGGAGACAAATTATTCAAATAATATTAAGACAACTTGGTACGAGGATTGATTAAAAAAAAAGGTGCATTGTTACTCGAAGTTTTCAATTAAATGTCGTCTTTGATAATTAATTATGTTGATGACAGACGTGGTTTATTTACGTAACTCAAGAAAAATTTGTCCTATTTTATAAGTGATTTTATTAATTCTTTTTTATAAGAGATTTTCAACGTGTTTTAAACAAATAAAAAAAATTAAACTTCATTAATTTTTCTTTAAAATTTAAACAACGGTATATTATATTTCATAAAAATAAAATTAATAAAATAATCAATGGAGGGTAAAAACATATTTATATGAAAAATTTCTTTCTTTATCCTATAAATATGGATAAAAAATTTATTCTCTCCACTCTATAAATGAGTAGTATTTATTTCAAAATTCAAAGTGAGTTTAGTCATTAACAAAGTGGGGACCAGATTCTCTTAGTGTTATTACGTATAGAACGTACCATTAACTTGCTTTGATGAAAATTTATGTTGAATGATGCTGATATTATGAAGCTCTGATGAATCTAGTGAATGTTGGTATGTATCTCCTCTATTTGTTGTCTATATATATGTGTTTGCGTGTGGACAGATTAGGAATGAAAAAGTCCAATTTTAGGGTTTCATTGATTCACTGTGATGAGTGTATCGAGAAACCGTGTGAACGCACTATATTAAATTGGAGTAGGTATTCGTTGAACAAAGACACCTTAAAGCCTGGCAAGTGGTGGCTTAAGCATTAAGTTATTCCTTACACAAGATACGAGAGCCAGGAGACAAATTATTCAATATATATTAAGACAACTTGTGTACGAGGATTGATTAAAAAAAGGTGCATTGTACTCGAAGTTTTCAATTAAATGTCGTCTTTGATAATTAATTATGTTGATGACAGACGTGGTTTATTTACGTAACTCAAGAAAAATTTGTCCTATTTTATAAGTGATTTTATTAATTCTTTTTTTATAAGATTTTCAACGTGTTTTAAACAAATAAAAAAAATTAAACTTCATTAATTTTTCTTTAAAATTTAACAACGGTATATATTATATTTCATAAAAATAAAATTAATAAAATAATCAATGGAGGGTAAAATTACATATTTATATGAAAAATTTCTTTCTTTATCCTATAAACAGGATTAAAAAATTTATTCTCTCCACTCTATAAATGAGTATTTTATTTCAAAATTCAAAGTGAGTTTAGTCATTATTACAAAGTGGGGACCAGATTCTCTTATCAGTTAAATAATTAAATATAACAGTCCAGAACTTTAAAAAGTTCACTAAAATAAAATATTCTAATACATTCGGTTTCTTTATAAGATTTGAATTTTATAAAATTCATCTAGTCTTTTTGATAAGATATTGTTTGAGACTATCTGAATATTAAATGTAGTTTTTAACCACTCAGTTAGGTTATTTAAATCTTATAAAAAAGAATACGAGAGAGCATCAGTTTGAGTGGAATGTGAACTACTAGGTGGATCATAACAACCCGACTAGGACTTAAATAATTTACTAAAATAAATTATTTGAAAAAATATATTCTTTTAACGCACTTCTAAGATATATCTTTATATATATATATATATATATTATATATATAGGCTTTAATGTGGCCTCCCCTTTTTTTCTTTTAGCTGGCAAAAAAAAATGTGGCCCTTTTTTTTTCCCCCATCAAACACTTGCCATGCTTTCTCCTCTATTTTCTTAGTTTTGCAATTAGAAAAGACAAGATATTCTGGTATGCTCAATTAAGGTTTTGCCTTTAAAATGCAAAATATATCGACAACTTTATATTGCACCAAAGTCGGTATATAGAGTTAGAAAATAATTGTTTACTGAAGCTTTGATGGGTTCTTTAGTGGAGGCCCGCTTGCCCTTCAGCCTCTTTTATAGTGTCATGCTTGTTTGCTAGTTGAGAAAGTTTTGTATTGGATGTTTTTTCTTTTGGGACAAATTAAAGCTTTTTTACATCCATTATTATTGTTGCATGTAAGAAACATTTGCTTGGGTGAATTATAAATTTTAAAAGTTGACTAGCTAGTTTGTTTATACTACCTCCGATCCTAATTATAAGACCCAGTTGATTAATTTGAGGATATTAAGGAAAAAAGTTAAGTTAGCTATTTGTAATAAATAGGTGTTACTTTTTCTAAAATATCCTCACTAATCAACTATATTGGCTAGGAATACAATTATTAGAAGGATTACCTTAGAAAAAAAATACATAAATATGAGAGACAAAGTGGATTGGGGTTTTATATTTAGGACCAAAATAAAAGTCAAACGGGGCCTTATATTAAGAACCGGAGGTAGTATTTTTTATGTTGATTATATATACGAATATATATTGGCCAATATCAATTATAATATGCATGCATGTGTGTGCGTGTGTTATATAAAAAAAGAGGAATGTGAGGGAAGGGAATGAGAGATGCGGTGGTGCGTGTGAGATGGTAGTGAGGCAGAAAGGTAATTTAGCAATTGACGTGCAAAATATGAAAAGACTATTTAAAGTTAGGTTGATCAGAAAATAATATTTGTACAAGTGTTTAGGCAAATAAATGACTTTTAATTAAAACTAAAAAGACATTTTTATTCGAAGTACTTTTGTTGATGTCTGGTTTTTGGCTTTTAATTATATTTGAATTTCTTAAAATTGAGCTTTTCAATATATCATTTAAACAAGATTACGTTAAACTAACCTTTTTTTTCCCCTATGAAAGTTTATCCTGGTATAAATTACATTATACTTTTACATTAATCAACTTTAACCAATTTCAATTTGCATCACTTTTGCAAATGTTAATCCACTTAAGCTCATCAGTTGAATTGAACTAAGAACTTAAAAAATTTAAATAAAATTAGTTAATATGATGGAAAGTTGCAGGTCTACGCTTTCCACTCTTATATATATACTACCTTAGTACTTAATATAAAAAATTGTTGAGAGCTGAATTCGATCCTAAATATAATAAAACTTTAGTTCACTTTGTCTTCTATTTTTTTTTTTAAAAAAGGTCCCTATTGATTTTAAGGGGTTCCCATCAAGAGGTAATTTCAATCATGCAATGCACATGATTGAAGAGGATAGCTTAGGGAAACCAACATAATTATAATAAATAACTAATTTAACTATTTTTTTAATATATATTTTTAAATTAGTTATTTAGTTCTTATATTATGGATGTGAGGTAATATATATATATATATATATATATATATGATGGCACATGTATTAGCTAGCTGTAAAAGTAATAAAGGAGCATATAATGATAATCACATTATATTTATTCACACCTAGGTGGCGATATTTTGCAAACAGATGGTGGGGAGAAGCTAACTGGCGATATGGTAACTATGGATAGAATACAACCATCAAGAAATCAAACAAAGCAATAGCTATGAAAAATAATACACACTTTCCACATCCACACGCTTATGGCATAAAATGCACGGAGCATTGAAGCACACAGCTTATCAGTCAAGAGCCCTGCTAGATTCATTTTAAATGACTAAGGCAATCGTTCCTGTTCACACACGCAAACACACATAAATATGTATATCAGAAATTAAATTGTGGTTTCGTGTTTAACAAGGATGCCAATGGAATCAAGGTAGCCGCCAGCTCTTCCATGGAATCCAATTATTGTATTATTGTTTATAGGGATTGCGAAAGAAGTACCAGAAGTGGTTCCAAATGGTCCATATGTAGCCAGATTTGTGGTAAAAGACAGAGATGTGATCGTTGTTAAACTGGCAAAATTTCCATACGTCCCACTTATGGATATCAGGTGCTCACAAGGCCATTTAATGTGAACCTGCAAATCATATAATAAACACGTATTTTACTCAAGAGTATTTATATATATATATATATATATCAATCATAAGTTCTTAATTTGTAATACTACTTCTGACCTTTAATATAAGACTTGGTTGATTTAATTTAAAAAAATTAAGAAAATTACATGATATTTTGAAATACTTATGTGTAATATTAGATTACATATCATTTTATAAGTTAGTCAAATTAATCAATTAGGTCTTACATATATCATTAGCTTCCTTAATCTCATCAAATTAATCGACTAGATCTTATATTAAAGACCAGAGATAGTATTTAGTAAATAACAAGTTGCATTAATATATAGGGAATGCTTACGATTTGCTTTTCACCAGTGTCATGGGGGTTGTCGCCGCCAAACGTTGCTGAGAAACGGCCACATGTGTCTCTAAAAGATATGGATTTGATGTTTAACCCTACATGGATGATTATCTGGTTAATAGCTTCGTTTGCTGTATAACTCCATGGATTTCCACCTGGGCCTCCCCATGGACCTATTGAAATATTTTCTTCTATGTCCCTCTGCAAAAGGAAAAAAAAAAAACCCAATTTGCTAGTAAACTTACATCATAGTGAAATTTATATATATAACACATGATATGTACATGTTCACACCATTAAATCACTCATCACAAACTCTGTGTAAAACATGAGACTTATATTGTAATAAACAAAAGTAACAATAATAAGAAGTCTTATCCTATATATGGTTGGGGTTGTCACTCACATTATTGTCGTCATTTTCTTAAAAAGAAATTTACCAATTTCACATTGATGCCAATTGCGTCAAGGTAGTAGCCAGCCCTTCCATGGACTCCAATCACGAGACAACCTTGGATTGGTATAGAGAAACAAGTGCCCCGAGCAGTTCCAAAAGGTCCATGTGTGGTAAGATTAGTTATGAATGATAGTGATGTGATCACTTCAAGTCCACAATAATCTCCATATGTCCCACTTATGGATATCAGATGCTCTAAATGCCCATCAATTTGAATCTACATATCGAAGTTATGTTGCATCATCATGAAATGAACATGTATATATGCCAAAAAAATTTTGAACAAGGGGGAGTAGAATTTGTTGATTCTCATAGACAAATATGTTAAACTGGCATGCCTAGCAACCCATGTGTGGTATTTGAAAGGTCTTCCTAGTTATATTGTGGATCTTTTAGATAAATCTCTTAAAGAATTAGAGGGTTTAGTATACTATTGAGATGTGTGATGTGATCAAAATTCTTATTTTATAGATTCAGAATGAGAAACTGTCATTCCATTCAATCGAATTGGGATGCCCTGGATCTGACATGTCTCTTGGGGTGAGTAACATGAAGCTTAGAATTGTGGGTGTATTTAAGACCCCCAAATTATGATAAGCTCAGGTAAAAGGAAAATCTAGAAAAGAGAAGTGATTAATTCATTTGATTTGTTATCTCAAACACACTATCCATAAATTAAATGAAAAACTTACTTTCCTTTCGACACCAATGTCATTAGGATCATTGCCACCAAATTTTCCATAGTATTTCCCATTAGCGTCTTTGACAGCGATGGACTTGATATTAGTATTTTCATGAACAATTATCTCTTTTATCCAATTTCCCAGCACTCTAAAACTAAATTCATCTCCACCTGGACCCCCACATGGCCCAAATGAAATGGTTCCATGTGAATGTACCTGCACCAAAACCGAAGGTCATATATAGTCATGACATTAATTAGAAGAATCAAATTAATGTAATATATTGCATGATTTACTAACATGTACATTTTTTTTTTGAAGCAAAACTAACATATACGTTATATTGTATTTGAATAGTGAATTACTTACTGGGTGCACAAAAATGCCAAGTGCATCAAGATAATAACCGGCTCTTCCATGGAACCCAACTACGACACTATCTGCTATTGGAATGGAGAAAGTCTTGTCATCACCAGAGGTTGATCCGAAAGGTCCATAAGTGGTAAGGTTTGTAATAAACGATAGGGACTTGATCACTAATAGTCCATGGTATTCCCCATAAGTTCCACTTATGGATTCCAAATACTCTGAAGGCCAACAAATTGCAATCTACAGATGATATAATGATATATATACAAGCTGTAAGTATGCAATTAATGTAGACGAAGATGATTATTAAGTGTTAATAACAATACTACCTCCGGTCGTAAATATAAGAGTTAGGTGGAGATTCAATTTAAACCTAAATATAAAAACTCCAATTACTTTACCTCTCATATTTATTTATTTATTTATTTTTTCCAAATTGTCCCTAAGATCTTGCACATAGTAAAGGGTTTCCATTTTAATGTATATGATTAACAAGAGTATTTTAGGAAAAACAACATCTATTTTTTTAAATAATTAACTTAACTAACTTTTTTAGTATTAACATATTAGTTATCTAGCTCTTATACTACTCCCCGTTTTTAATATAATAGCTACTTGACTAATTTGAATAAATTGAAGAAGTTTGTTAAGTTAGATATTTATAATAAATGAGTGTTATCTTTTTTAGAATACATTTACTAATTATGTTATGTATTAGCTATACTATTATTTGATGAAACTTTTAACATGTGCAACAACTACAAAGACTGTCTTAAAAAAAAATGGATAAATATGAGAGATAAAGTAATTGAGATATTATATTTAGAATCTGATTAAAAATCGAACTAACTCTTATATTAAGAATCGAAGGCAGTATATTAATTAATTCACCAATTACGTTACCTTTTTTTCTTTACCCCTGCCATTGGGGCTTCGGCCTCCAAATGTCCCAGAAATATGACCATTGGCATCTTTGAAAGAAATGGACTTTATATTGACGTGCTCATGGATGACTATCTCAGTAATCCCTTGATGGCTCGCCTTGAAGCTCCAATGGTCACCCCCTGGACCTCCCCAGGGCCCCACAGAAATCGTTCCTTTCAAGGATCCCTAACCACAAGCCAATATGAATAGATGAGATAATTAGTGGAAAAAATTAATACCTTATGGACATGTATAGTAGTACTGTGTCATGGTACCATTCGCTTAGACTTGGAGATGAATTGTACTGAGTGGTGATATTATGCAGCTCTCAATTTGGTGAATGATTATGACCCCTTCATGTGGCCTATATATAGACAGATTATGATATGGATGAGGGCTTTCTTTGTTTTTTTCTTCAGGAATATTTAGATGGAATCAAAATCATAGTTTCAAAAGTGTTTTCATTGTATACGAAATAAATATGTAGAGAAATATATCTCGATTTACGGAAAAATATTTTTCAGAAGCACTTTTGATACTTCCTAAACACTCCTTTTATTCTCTCTCTCTCTTAATCTTTCTTCTTCTCTGCGCAGGCGACAAATCTCTCTGTTTTTTCCCCTCTCTGACTATACTCTCGGCGAAGATTGTGGAACCATTTTAAAGATTGAGACTAGCCTATGGCGTTATTTAAATATTATCCGCTCTTTCAATCCTATTTATAAGTCAATTTTAATATGTTTAACAAAAAATAATAAGAAAAACTTAAGCTTTATTAACTTTTATTAAAATTCTACAAATACTTTTTAACTTTATTCTTATTTAATATACATTATACGTCATGTAAACAAAGTTAATATAATAATAAATGAATGATGAAATTCTACATTCATATAAAAATTTTCTCAGTATCCTATAAATAGAATCAAAAAACATAGTCCAACTGAAAAACTCTAATCGGCCCCCTTCTTTCTCTTATCTATATCTCTTTTCTCTTTCTTCACTCACCTTCGCCACGTAGTTCCCTCCTCTCTTTCTTTTTTTTTCCTTTTTTTTTCCCTGTCCCTTTTGTCTCTTGGCCCCACTCGTTCTTTGGTCTTTTTCCTTCCGAATCCTCGTACCACTTCTCTCCATTTCGCTTCCTGCACTAAATTAAAATGACGCGTATCCCTTAGCACCCAGGAAGCAGAGACAACGAGAATCAAAATGGCGAGAAAACAAAGAGTACGGTGATGCCATTTTCCCTCTTTTTTTTTTCCCTTCCCTCAACGTGGACTTGATTTTTAATGAGTAGTAAGATATTCTGAAATTTGTTTTCAATCTCCCTACTCTAAATGAAATTAAGTTTGAAAGTGAAATGATAATGTTGCCCATCAAAATCTGAATGAGAAGAAAGGAGTCAACTAGGGATTTATTTTACACGCATGAAAATTTACAACAAATAATTAAAAAATTACAACTCGAAATATGAAAACTTTAAAACAAATAATAAAAAACTAACAACTCTACATATGAAAATTTATAATAAATAATAGAAAATTAACAACTCAATATGTGAAAATTTATAACAATTAATTGGAAAACAACATCTGGGAATATGAAATTTAAAATAAATAATAAAAATTAACTCTACATATGAAAATTGACATCAATAATAGAAAATAACTTCACATATAGGAATTCACAACAAATAAAATAATAATAATAATTTAACAACTCCACATGCGGAAAGTCACAACAATAATACTATATTAAAACCATCCAATTCAGAATTTACTCCTTTTTTTACCTAGGGATTTTTTTAACCATACTTGTCATTTTATTTTCATTTCAGTGCACATAGACTATGTTGTATTTTCAGATTCTTTTGGACTTAAAGTTTGTTAACTTCACTTTGTGGCATTTAGCTGACATTTTCCCTTAAAACATGGGAAAAAGCGAGAGGTAATGATTTTGGCAACATTTCATGATATATTCGATCACTGACTTGTCACTTAAGAATTTAAAGAGTTTTTTTTTTTTAATTTTCGTTTTAAGTTTTGTTTGGATGATGCCATACTGCTCTGGTATAAGCAAATTACTAAAAACCACTTCCAAATCGGTCGGCCAAGTCAGGAATCATTGAAAGCCATTAGTCTCGTCCGAGAAATAAGGTGAGCGGCTGGTTCACCTGTATGATGTCTTTTGGTCTCTTATTTAGGATTAAGTAATATTATAGTAAATAAATAATAATTAAATTTTTTTCAAAATTTTAAAAGATTGAGACTAGTCTATGAAACCATCTAGATATTATCTACATTCAATATATTTTAATATTTGGATAAATTTTAAATAAATACATTTAAAGTGTATTAGGAAACAAAGTAACATAACAATAAATATATATTTCAATTATCTAGCGGGATTAAAAAAAAAAACCCTATGACTTCTCAATTACAGGAGAATTTTCATGTCCGTAAACTGATTCTTTTCTCTGTTCTTACTTCTGTCCTTGTTTGTTTTTTCCTTTCCTTCTTTTTCTTTTCTTCTTATCTATCTTCGATCAGGCTCTATCTCTTTTTCCTTTCCTTTTTCTTGTCTTTTCTTTATTCTTTTTCTTTTTCCATACCGCTTTAGCAACGTGATCTAGCAAGTCATTTGCTATGACTTATTTTTATACTCAATATTCAATTTAAATACAAGCCATCTTGATCTGCAGCTAATATATATAATTTAAATTTAGGTTAGAAATTAAGACCAGGGATTTTGGAATTTTAAGGAATTAGATAGTTTGATATATAATTGACTATTCTGATGAAATAACTTTAAAAGATAAATTGAGTTCTAAGAGCTAGTGGCGTTTAAGAAATTTGAGATTAATCTGAGAATATATAACTTTGAGTAATTTTTAAGTACTGCATTGATATATGCTGATGTGTATGATGGTTTAATGGGAACAATGTACCAAAATGTTACTCCTCTAATTTTAAATATAAAACTTATTTTGTAATGTAGTATTGGAGGAGTAATAATTTTTCTTTCTACACGCAATCAGATCTCGTTCTATCATGAATAACGACAAAAGAATGCTTTTTTTGATTCATGACGGAATGAGTTTTCGAGCCACAGTGATGATATGTTGGTACTAATCCTTGTGTGGGCGGTGGAGTTTACATTGGAGTTCAACGTTGAGACCAGCACCAGGGGAAACTATCGTGATTTCATTCAGAAACTGCGAGTTCGACTTGAAGTGAGATCTTCCCACAATCGTCCTGCTCTCGCTATTCAGCAGAACCCACCCACTCGATTCTTCGATTTGGTTTTACGAATCAATGATCATTCTGTGAGGTTCAGGTTCCGAATGGACAACGTCTACTTGCTTGGCTACCAAATGGAAAAACGCAGGTGGTTAGAGTTCGGGCACAGGAACCAGAAAAAAGAACTTGTGCAGCTAATTACAAAACATGGGACCGACTGCCTAGGTTTTGGTTGTCGCTACGAGGAAATAGAAAGAGCTGCTCATCGATCAACTGAGGAGACGAGTGGGGACCACAGCCTAGCATTTGCCATAAATCAACTTGCTGTAACAAAAGCTGGGAGGCTAGGGCACGGTCTAATTGTTGTGATTATGATGATTTCTAAATCCGCCAGACTCGTTCCAGTATCTGACCATCTGGCCCAAAGTTTTGACAACAGGCCCGGCACTACTCGTGACGATGAAGGCCAAAATTGGATTATGGACTTAGTTCGAAGTTGACGATGAAGGCCAAAATTGGATTATGGACTTAGTTCGAAGTTGGGATCCTTTTCTGCAGCATTGTTGCGTGCTGCTGATGCTTACCCAGAAGAAAGGTTTCAACTTCGACCAAACAACATACGAATCCCACCAGAGAACAGAGAAATAAGAACTATTGCCGATGCTATAGCAATACTAGGTATCTTGTTGGGACTTTGCTTCAAGGCCCCGCCTTCCAGCTCCATTACTGGACGAAAAAGGTCCAAACGCATGGTCCATAGTGAAGGGCAGAGCTTTTCAGGGCTACCACACTTGTGGAGATTTTCTCAGTGCGAATCGATAATATAGATAATGAGGATCCTGGGGAACTGTATGGAACAATTACAATCAATAATGGGTTGTACACACAATATATCTACAACCGTACGAGGGACAACTATGAATCCATCAATGCATGTCAAGATGTTACGTTAACTGGGGCATCTGAATCTGTCTTTGCCTTTGGCAATGTTACCAAAACTCCTTCTCATTGATAAGGACATAATCTCATGTAGGGTTGCACATGGGCTGAGAAGGGCAGGGCTGGGCAGGGCAAGCCCCCTGCTCGAAGTATGCGCAGGTTGTATTTTGCAGCCCACTGTCCAGCCCTACGCATAGAAGTCCAAACCATTTTTAGGCTAGGCATGGGTGGGTTGGGCTGGCTGGTTTTGTTGCCCAAGAGGTGATGCTTGCTCATGTCATATGAGGAAAAATTTCATCCATACTTGAAAATTACATTTCATAATTCTATATTTTGACACATTAAAATCATCCAAAAATAATCCAAATCAAGTCTTAACAAATATCCAATTAAATAACATCCATAATCAGTTTGAAACAAAACAACTCTTAGTATTGTAATTGAGGCCTTGAAATTCAAACAATTTGCATCAATCCCACTATTTTGGGAAAAGGATGGAACATCTAGAAAAAAATACCAAAAAAATGACTATAAATTTAATATATTAGCAAGTAATCAATTAAAAAAAAGAAATGTATTCTAAATTTTAAAGGATGCACAGATACAGCTTACCAACTTGGCCAGTCATGCTTATAAAATGACCCTTCAATCACCAATGGCCATTAAATTCTCTCCTCCAGGTGTAGCAACATCTAGGGAAAAAAAATGAAAGAACATTACATACCAAATTATGAAAATAATATGTGAGTTATTGAGGTTTGGGGGGGGGGACATATTACTAGCAAGTTGAAGGACATTTTCTGTCTCATCAAAATTATCAAATTTGCAAAGCTTGTCAACAAATTCAGACATTGATTGCCTAGGTTGTAGCTAGTTTTGGCTACAAATTAGTGCTTCTGTCATTTTAGGAGACAAAGAACTCCTATAATGATCAACCACATGTCCTCCAATGCTAAATGCAGATTCAAAAGCCACTGTAGAAACTGGCATAACCAATACATATCATGCCATATGAGAGAGAATTTTATATTTTTTTGAATTAGCTTTCCACCATAACAGTATGTCAAACTCAGTTGGAGAAGGGATTTCATCTCTCGAGTCTGTCACTATATATCTATCTAACTCAATTTGAGGATCTGTTGAGATTCTTTATTTCATAGATTCTAACTACTTATGACCTGGATCCTCTTCACCATCATCATCATCAAAAGAAGGCAATGAAGTTGCACCTACTTTACTTGCGGAGGTAGTCCCTGATTCAATAACTATCCCAGCAAAATACTCATTAAACAATCGATACAAACAATCTTTGACCCTCTCCTTCATAATTAAACATACTTCAGGATCAACATAAAGAAGATAAACATATGATTCATATATTCTTGTTTATATTGAGGATCCAAAGTGACAGCCACAAATAGTAACGGATTCATATTATCTACTTGACCCCAATACTTGTTATACTTCACCATGTTAGTGCTCATTTCTCTTAAGAAGTTATTAGTATTATTCATGACATTTTTTTGCAGCATTTTCTGAACACGAGCAATCTGATGAAAACACTCATTTTATAATACATAAAGGGAGCTTGAAAATTTCAATGTTGTGTCATAAAAGACCTTCATGAATTTGATGAAAATTCGATTATTATTCCAATTATCAATAATAGGACTAGAAAAGTTATCTTGGTCACGTCTAATACCATCACGCTCATGCCTAGCTGAACTAGAAGCATCACACCTAGAGCTTGAAGTGCTTGAGCTGAAGTATGAAATATAGTCATCATCTTTATCACGCATTCGCTCAAATACTTTTTGAAACTTCATTGCAGCTTCTAACATTAATTACGTTGAATTCCAATGAGTGGATACATCAAGGCAGACAAGGCTCTTGGCATCTATTTTTTAAGCATCAGCCTAAGTTTTGAATCTTAGAAAGCGTGAAGGAGAAGAACAAATATATCTAACAGCATTTTGAATGGCTTTAAAGCTGTCTTTCATTTCTTTAATACTTTCATTGACCACCAAATTTAGGACGTGTGCACAACACCTTAATTGTAGATAATCACCTTCATAAAGTGAGCCCTTCGAACTCCTCAAATGCCTTTTAAGATATGCCTAAGCTGAGTTATTAGCTGAGGCATTATCCACAATTATGGTGAATACTTTCTCAATCTCCTAATCCAATAAGCATTGCTTAATGGTCCTCCCTATAGTATCACCTCTATGATTTTTAATCATAACAAAATTTAGAATCCTTTTGTGAAGCTTCTATTCATCATCAATAAAATGTGTTGTCAAACATAAGTAGTTAAAATTCTGATTTGATGTCTAGCAATCTGTGGTGAGACAGAGACATTTTGCACTTTGCTTCAAGAATTTCTTTCATATTTTAACTTCTCCAAGGTATAATTGCCACACATCTCTTCCAATTGTTGTTCTTGAAGGGATTGGAAAGTGAGGCTCAAACTCATTTAACAATTTCCATTATACAGGCTTGTCCACAATTTTGAATGGTTGCTCATCAAATAATAAACTTAGCTAAAGCTCTTCTACATTGCTTCTCATCATATACATGTGGAATTAAAGATTTTCCTTGCCAGTTGTCCTAATCGACAAAAGAGTTAACATAGATTGTTTTTTATCTGTAGTGGCCTTATGTGGATTCTTTGAACACTTTGGGATATGTCTCAACAAAGAATTTGTCCCCGGTTTAGATCAGCTTTATAAGTAGTATGACAATACTTGCAAGCTGCTAAGTAAACTCCATTTGTTTCTTCTATTGGCAATTTGATAAAGTATTCACATACCTCTGATGTGTGCTTAGGTTCCCTTGCCTTTCTCTTTATACCCCTTCCATCAACATTTGTTTCTGCTGTGATAGAATTTGTTTGTGGGGGAGTAGGGGTAGGAGAAGGAGAGATGGGACAAGGTTAAACATGAAGAGTAGGGTTAGGGGTAGGAGCTTCACTAGGTCTATTAGGATTTGATATTTGATTAGGTCCAGTAGGAATTGGTGTTTAAAGAGGGGTTGAAGCACCTTGAGACATTCCACCAACAACCGGGGATGGTGATGTAATAGAAGCTTCCTCATCCATTAAAGCTGCAATGCAATATCATATAATTCAACAAACCATTTTTTAAAGATATGTCAACACACAATTATTTTCACAATTGAATCAATATGTGATACAATAACATGGATACAAACTTACAAAGTACAATTCATAATAAACCATTTGATATAATTGATTCATTCTATTATCTCAAATACTAAAAGTCTAAAACCAATTACTAAAACAAATGAATTTGCCATTTCCCATTTTCCCTATCAGTTTGTCATGGTAAAATGGCAAACAGAGTCATAATAGACTAGCTAGAAACCAAAATGAATTTACTTTAGTGTTCAAAAAACAAAGTCACGGTAGAAGTAGAACCATTTCTCGACAAATAGAAAACAAATGTGCAACAAATTGGTATAATCTCTACCAAGCAAGCAAATTTGCAACAGAAAACAACAAAAGATTATATAATTCAATAGAAAACAACAAATTTGTTGTACTAGAAAACAAGATAAGGATGGAATCAAAGTAGAATCAAATAGCATCAAACTCACTGGTCAAATATCAAAGTTGAATCGATGGAGGAAGATGGAACCTGGAAGCGACTAAGGGTGAGCACTAACAGTGAGTTGAGCTTGGGGGAAAGTGAAGACAGAGGTGGTCATTGGCTTGGTGCTTCGATGCTAGTCGACGAGTTGAGCAAGGGTGAGCACTGGGCAAAAGTTTGGAACTGGTCAGCGAGTTGAGCTTGAGTGGAAGTCTGGAACTGCCAAACTGGAGCCTCGAAGCGATTGACGGTGAGCACTGACAGCAAGTTGAGCTTGAGGAAAGGCGAAGACGGAGGTGGTCACTGCTCGGTGCTAGTCGACGAGTTGAGCTTGAGGGTGAGCATTGAGCAGAAGTTGGGAACTAGTCGGTGAGTTGAGCTTGAGTGGAAGTTTGGAACTGCCAAACTGGAGCTTAGAAGCAACTGACGTGAGTACTGATGACTGACTGAGCAGAAGTTTAAGGGAGGAGGGAGGCGCTAGGGCGTAATCTGATCTCTAAATCTGAAGTCTGATAATTGAATTATTGAAGAGTGAAAGAAGGAAAATTAAAAATTAAAAATAAAAGATTATATTATATTTTATGTATTGTTATATTATGTATTATACATTATTATAATATATAATTACATATACTTTGGGAAGAGCCAAACAAGCAGGGCAGAATACCCAATCTGTGATCAACCCTGCCAAAGAGTGCCCTTTTTCTTTTGGGCTGTGTTTTTTTTGGGCCTGGCCAGGCTTTTTTTCTTAGGCTCGAGCAGGCATACCGGGCTACCAAGTATTGTGAACACCCCTAATCTCGTGGGATGATGTAATCATTGATAAGGTTGTCTAATGGGATTCTGCTAACATTGGCAGTGTGTATGACTAACTCATATCACAGAAACTAGACAGTAATCAAGGTTTGGTGACTGTCAATTACGTAATGCTGCGAAATGTTGTGGCTGCTAGGGTTACTATTATGTTTAGAAGAGGAGGAGGGGAAGCTACAGCTGATATTTATGGACATATTTTTGCTTGTTATGACAATTAGGAGGAGGATCTAGGCGACAATAAAATGACATGTTTGCTGTTTGACAGAACATATGAAGACTATGTTAAAGTGGACCATTTCGAGGACATTCCATTATTGAGATTTGTGGTTGCTATGTGACTAAGTCAATTATTTTTATATATTTTGATATCTTTTTAGTGGGTTTTTGTCAACTTAATTGGTCCTTTTGGCATTATTTGATTATTTATTTATTCAATATATTTTGTTTTGAATTATCATTTTACAGGGGTAAAATTGTCATATTTTGATTTAATTGTGATTAATTATTTTTAAGGACAATTAATGCTACCTTATCTTGAATTTTGTTTGTAGATTTTTGGAAGATTTAAAAATAAAAAAAGAGAAGAAAAGAAAAGAAAAAAAATATAATAAAAAATAAATTAAAAATATATATATAATAATAAAAGTGG